CATTTTTCTAACCATTTTATTCTGCTATTTACAGCTACACCAAACCTAAAGGACAATTGCCCGACTACGAATCACCTGTTATCCTTACCGGCACTACCCCGACCGTTGAGGATTTTTGTAATAAGCTGCACAAATCTATCATGAAGGACTTTAAATAGTAACTTTTTAATTTAATTTTAGTGTATTTTTAATGTAATTTTATTTTTTGTTTTATAGCGCTTTAGTTTGGGGTACTTCAGTTAAGCACAATCCTCAAAAAGTTGGTAAAGATCATCTACTAAATGATGAGGGTAAGATTCTTATTTCTTTATTATTCATAGTTTACATTTTCATTTATTCTTTGTAGATGTCGTTCAAGTTGTGAAAAAAGTCTAGGTAAGTTTTATAACTTTTTTATTTGTTTAAAAATATGTAATCAAGTTTTCTTTATTTAGACTTGAGCCATCAGCACATCGCCTTTAATAATTGAAAATGCTATTACTGCAACTATTTTCGTTTATTACAAAATAAACGTATTTTTTATTCTTTACAAGTAATCAGATAGTGCAAAAAACTTAAGTGCAAAGATACCCATCGGGAAAAAACCAGTCAACAAAGTGCCATTAGAGAAAACCCATTAGGATGACTATTTGAAGTTGGCATTTTATAATCAGTCATTTGGCAACAACCAATTTATCCAACAAACAATCATCGAAATCAATCATTTTTTCTGGATAATTGCATTTTCAAGTAACTACTAGAGTACTCCTGACAGATTAGATGACAGGTACTCTATGCCTGGNGGCATTTTATAATCAGTCATTTGGCAACAACCAATTTATCCAACAAACAATCATCGAAATCAATCATTTTTTTCTGGATAATTGCATTTTCAAGTAACTACTAGAGTACTCCTGACAGATTAGATGACAGGTACTCTATGCCTGGTGATGACAAGGTAAACGCTCGCAGGGGTCGACAGGCAGTACAAACATGCCTTTTGTTTACCCTAGCGCGGGGGTGTCAAGTGCTCACTGGCAGTGCCTGTGTGTCCGCTTGCAACCGCCACCGCTCCGAAGCAATGCACAGCAACAAGACAAGGCCAATGGTGATACATGCAGTGGTGATAGAAAGCAGAATTTGTTGTTTTGTACAGCGCTAATTGCCTTCGGTGAGCAGCATGTGCGCTTGGAGACTGGCGGCAGAAAACCCATCAGCCGAGAAGATTGCGTCTAGGACATTCGACCAAACAGGATAGTTTTGCTCGAGAAAAGGCGATAATTGAGCCCCCCCCCCTCTTCCAATAAGATGGCATCAGTGACACGGTGACGCTGCTGCTGCGTCCAAAGAGTTGACTCCATTGGTGAGACAGCAAATGGAATGGTGAGATGGAGTGTCGCCGTGCCGGTGGAACAAGTTGCTGCTGGAGGAGAAGAGCATAGTCAGATTGTGGCAGTCGATAAGATGCAGCGATTGCTGATTGAGGGACGCATCTGATGCTCACTGCTTAGTGTGTGCCAGTGGCCAGCATGGCCATCAGCGTGATGGTAGCACAGAGATGTGTCTTCAGCTGCAGGTGAATGAGGTGTACAATCTACTGACAGAAGAGTGTCCCCTGGTTCGAAGAAAACATTGCACCATCGGAAGTGAAGTTCCTCTCCACTGGAGTGTGTTTACCTTCTTGGTCAGAATGATTTGCAGTGTGTAATGGTGCAATCACATGTCAGGTGAAGGCGTCTGAGAGAGTTTGCAATCGACGTTACTGTCACTTCAGTTCACTGGCAGTCTGCACACCGGAAAGTGAAACAGTCTTTGGCAAATGACTCGTTTTGTTATAATTAAATTTGTAAATCTTTGTCCAATACATACAGGCAGACTGCATAGATTCTTATTTAGAGGAATTAAATATGCATCATCTTTTGCAAAGGTTTGATCATTTCAGTCGTCTAATCACAATTTAAATGTTAATGAAATTATTATTTTGTTTCTATTTTGGCGCATAGTTTTGAATGGACGTCACTAAAATGATTAGCTGTTGATAGGGAAGTTGTTTTTCAAAATTACTAGCACACATTAGTTAGGTCTGCACAGTGGTTCTAATATTTGCTACCTTCTAAAAACTTGAAAATGCACTAAATGTACCAAAAGGAAGCGATTAGAGAGACGTCACTACTGCTGAAAAGACTTTCACAGTTGTTTTGCATCTTAGTAGATAGAGTGCAGACTTTCAATGTCAGCACTGTTCTCCGAAAGAACGTTTCCCACCATTTAGCAATTGTTTACAAAGGTTTGCACTTAACTTTGTAGTCTTATTAAAATTCACATTATTTCTGCGTTTATCAGTGTAACTTTACGTCATTAGGGTCATTAGAAGGGTGCTTCAGTTCAAGGATCATCAGTGCAGATTCACAAAACCGTGATAGTGTACTCTAAATGAACGAAGTCTTCTAAAAGATAGAATTGATTAAAATGTGAAAAGTAATTTTTGGTTATAAGCAGTGACTTTCGAACTGAATCAATGTTCCTAGATAAGTTTTTTCTTATTGATAAATGCAGACCACTACTGTACACTTTAAAATTGAGACATTAATCTTCATTTCTGTTTTTTGTTCTTTACACATTTCAGAAAAACGACCCAACATCATCAGACAGTGCACTAAAGTGCTTTCATCGAGCAGTACAGCGTTGAAGGCTGAAGAAGGCAGACTGCACTAGCGAAAAGTAGTCGAGAAACACATGATGGCAGAAGCAGAAACTGGTCAGGTGAAGGCAAGGGTGAGTGGAGGAGGAAAGTGAGAGTGGCAGAAGAGGAGGGGGCTGCCAAACTTCCAATGCTTCACACAGAGCGAGTATATTCGATAAGCAGATAATGGGCACTGGAACGAGGAGGAGATCGGCTCGGATTGGCTTTGCTTCAGCACACGGTGACACACTGCACCGGTGAGGATGACGAAGAAGTGGAAGGTGGTACAGGATGAGGGAGAAGGAGAATGATCAGTGAAGAAAAAGGGACGTCGTATAAAAGGTGAGTTGATGCGTGGTAGGGTTGCTTAGATGACTGCTACACCAGCCCGACTTAATATTCTTCCAAACTGATACAGTTCGCTTTTACCATGGCCATGACTACTGTACTTTTGGCAGCGCTGCTGTTCCTTTCCACGACGACAACATTTTCCTTGGCAAAGGAGGGGGAAATTGACTGTCAACATGACGTTATGGGACAACTTGGTGAGCTAGTTTTAATATTCTTTTTCTTTTGGCTGCTTTGTCTAATCTTCTAGTTGTTTCTTTGAAGACCACTATCTCAAGGAAATCGAGCTGGTGCCCAGTGAGAATTTAAAGCACAAATTTCCTGAAACAATCATAAACTTGAAAGATGCTTGCAAGATCAACAAGAACATCATGAATATTCTCAATAACCTGGCAAATAAGTGCATGACTGGCTTTAGAAAGAATGTCATGCTTGTGGCGCTTTACTCAGTAAAGCGATCGCAGAGGTCACTTTGCCGTGCTAAGGCTACTAAGGTACTGTGGATAAGCTGTTGTGGACTTCCGCAAAGGGGCGAGGCATTTGTTAGTGCAAACCGATTTGCGCACTCAGTTTGCCTGATTTAGCTAAGTTTTATCAGCAAAGATTTGTTGCCCTATCTGAACAACATAAGCTAACAAAACAATCTGATAAAACTTAGATATCATACAGGCGTAAATTGATGCACACTGTCAAAGATCTCGCCCTTTTGTTGAAGTCCACAATAATAACCCTTTTATCTACTTTAAAATAGGAAATGCGCGAGTTTGTTGCGGCTGGTAAGTTAAAACTAAAAGGATTTTCAATATAATTTTTGAAAACCAATTTTTTTATTAACAAGGTAAATGCGTAAATCAAGGCCGTGAGGTGTTCACCAAGTGCATACGCGAAACGGTCAATAATGTGCTGAAGGTGAAATTGGTAGAGGACAAAATGAAGATTCCTTTCCTCTGCTGTCAGGTGGGTGCCACCAGGTCCTGTCTAATGAAGGAGGCAAAGAAGGTGAAGGGCTGCAAGGATGAACACGTGGAAACGCTAAACAGCCGCTTCAATCAAGTCTCAATGGGAACGATGAACTTGGCTTGTGGTAAGAACGGTTCAAATAGCTTTGTACAACAACTCACTGATTATTTCTAATTGCACTTTGTAGGACAATACACAGAGGAGACAGATCGTTGTGAGAAGATCCGCATACCCAAAGGAAATGTGACCATTGAGAGAGGCAACAAGTCAATGGTGATGACCATGTTTGAGCTGTTGGACACATTGCCGCTCGATGAGGAAAACCTTCCTACGGATTCCAGATAAATTAGAATAAAAGATGTTCATTTGTGACTAAGGCTTTCATGTGATACAAGTGTCGCTGCTACTTTGAAAACCGTACTGTTCATCGAATCTCATCGTGAATGTCAATTAATTTATATGTATGTAACACAACAATTTAATCAAAGATAACCTCATTTTCTCAACATTTCGTCATAATAAAAAAGTAAATTATGCAACTGTCTAAACCCGGAACAGTTTCAAATATTCATCGGATGTAATCATTTTATCGAAAAAATGAACGGAAATTGTGTTCATCTATTTTGCACTANGTATGTAACACAACAATTTAATCAAAGATAACCTCATTTTCTCAACATTTTGTCATAATAAAAAAGTAAATTATGCAACTGTCTAAACTCGGAACAGTTTCAAATATTCATCGGATGTAATCATTTTATCGAAAAAAATGAACGGAAATTGTGTTTATCTATTTTGCACTAGCATTGTTCGTGCTTGTCAAAATAGTGTTCAATATGAATAAAAACAAATCGCGAAAAAAAGGTACAGTGAATGTCACGTAATGTGATTACTGTTTCTGCTGCTGCTAAGCAGTTGATAAGAGCCGATGGCAGCATCTGTTATTGCCTGACAACAGTGACAGCTGACACTTTCAACCATTGTACAGAAGGGAAAGTTGAACACCTGATGTGATACGGCGGTTAGCCTACCCAATAGCCCGCCTCTGATATCGCCTAGTGCTTGTTGCCTGCCTGTCTGGTCATGTCTGTTCAACAGTAAAACGGCATCCCCCGCTTTTGGCAGCTTCACAACTGCCTGTATTGGCAATATTGCAACAACACTTCACATCAAACAGCCTTCAAAATGATCAATTCGAGGCGATTCCTCACCAGCGCCCTTCACTGGCAATCCAGTAGTTTGCCGTCTGTTAATCTTCTGCCGCGCCAGAATGTCTTAGGCTGCAGTAAAAGTCAGCTACGCTTTATGAGCGCAAACCCAAAAAATTCCTACACTTTAGTGATTGTGGGTGGTGGTTCAGGTGGCATTTCAGTGGCGGCTCGATTTGCCCGATATTTAAACATTGTCCGGAAAGGCGGAACAATAGCTGTGATTGAGCCACAAAATGTAAGCTTTTTATTGTTCTTTATTTATCTTCTTTTGATCGTCTAGTAATCTTTGCTACTACACATTAGGTGCACTACTATCAACCACTCTGGACACTTGTTGGAGCTGGCATCAAAGACTTGCCTTCTACTGCGCGCGATATGAGTAGTGTAATGCCAAAGGGTGTTGACTGGATAAAGGATTACTGTACGGAGGTTGACCCAAAAAATAACAGCATTCGTTTGGCTGGTGCAGCTGGCTCAATTAAGTACGAGTACCTCATTGTGGCAGCTGGTCTGAACATTGACTGGAATAAAATAGAGGGCTTAACAGAGGCTTTAGAAACACCTGGTGTTTGCTCAAATTATTCCCCAAGAACCGTGCAGAAGACTTTTAGTGCAATTGAAAATCTTAAGAATGGAAACGCCATCTTTACCTTTCCAAATTCTCCCGTCAAGTGCCCAGGCGCACCGCAGAAGATTATGTACCTCACTGATGCTCATCTTAGAAAGGTTAGAACGGTTTTAGAATTCCTTTATGGTAATAAACAATATATTGTTTTTAACAGAACGGAAGGCGATCAGATGTCACCTTTCACTACAACACAGCATTGCCGGTCATATTCGGTGTGAAGCACTATGCATCAGCCCTAATGGAAGTTTGCAAAAAGCGTGATTTAAATGTCAATACACGACTAAACTTGAAGAGAATAGATCCACTGGTAAAGACCGCTTACTTTGAGCAGCTTGATCATCCTGACAAGCCTTTGGCGGAGTGGAAATACGAAATGCTGCACGTCACACCACCAATGAGTGCGCCCAAGTTTTTAGCCCCGCTTTCCAGTGATTCTGCAAATGGTTTCGTTTCCATCGACACAAAAACACTTCAGCACCTTGAATTCCCAAACGTATTTGCCATCGGTGATTGTGCTGCTTTACCTACTTCAAAGACTGCTGCAGCAATTGCGTCTCAGAACTACATTCTTGCTCGAAATCTACTTCAAGTAATGCAAAGCGATGGTGAAACGGTCAAGGAGTTTCCCGAACAATACGATGGTAAGGTATTTTACTTTTATCACATTTTATAAAAAAATATCACTTCAGGATACACGTCATGTCCTTTGGTCACTGGCAACGACAAGTGTATCCTGGCAGAGTTCAATTATTCACTTGAACCGTTGGAGACGTTTCCGCTGAGCCAGGCAAAAGAACGTACTTCAATGTATTTTATGAAAAAAGACGTGTTGCCCTTCATCTACTGGAATGCAATGCTCAAGTATGTAAACACTTTCTCTAATCGCGGCAATACATTTTGCTAATTGGCACATTGCTATTTTCAGAGGACGCTGGAGAGGACCTAAAACGTTTCGACAAGTTGCTCATTTAGGCTTCAGTAATTAGAGACTTTGTTTCACTTTTCACAGACTGATAGTTTAACAGCTTTATTTAATTTTCCGTGTTTTTGATTTATTGTTATATCACTTAGAATAGACTGTTGTGGAGGGAAGGGGATAACTGGTGAAAGCAAAAATAAATAACTCATCAGGAGAGCATCGGTTTCCCGTTTTTGAACTAGTTCCAAGACTTGAAATATGACTTAAAGTCGGCATCTTCAGCTCCCTGTTTAACGTGAACAACATGCTCTGACTCGAGCTGTCTGCCGCTCTTGTCTTGCTTCAAGTAGGCACTGGCAATCTTGCCGATGACACTCTCGTCGGGCAGTTTGTCCTCCAGTTCTTTGCCCAGCCAAACGAATATCTTACTACCAGCATCTGCAAAATTATTAGTTTATTAGTTACTTTACGCTAACTGAGAACATAGTGGAACATGTTTGCATTCAGAAAAAGACTTACCGAGAACCATGAGGTTGTCTTCTTCCAGATCACTCTGCTCGTACTGTCCCACTTGTTCAAATTTTCCATTTTTAACAAGTTTGTACAGGCGACCGTGCTTTTCAACGTTTGCCGAGAAGGTATTGGCTGACCACTGTTTAAAGAGTGATTTGAACTCAACTGTTTCACCATCCTCAATGACCTTGGTCACTTCAGTCTTTTGCGGGTAGCCCTTCTTCTTGATCAGCTCCATGGCGTACTTCAGACCAGAGCTACGCTCCTTCTTGGTGGCATCCTGGCCCACCCACACCCAAATGCCATTGGCGCCATTGTCCACAATGAAGGTGTCCTGTTGGTTTAAATTTGACCATGGTTATTCCTATTGTGAGTTCTAGACTATACCACTGAACACTTGCATTAGAGTCCAGGTCACTGCGAGTGAGTGGTCCATCTTTGACGCTGAGAATGTCAATTTTGCCACCTTCTTCCTTGCAGCGGTATAGGTGCACAAATGTGCGCTCGCTGGACTCAAAGTTGGCGTCACTGGTAATGTCATCATCAGTGGCCTGTTTAATGAGAGAATCCTTCTTCTCAAGTGGCAACAGTCGATTGAACTCCAAATGCTCTGCTTCTGCAAGTTGATCGCTTTCTTGTCCATCATCAAGAATAACTATGGACAGATGAAATCGGGCCAATTCATTCTTCAACTCGTTGGCAATGTTGATGGCCGCTAGTCGTTCAAAGCGATTTGACTTGCTACCAGTCCACACGAAGATGTACTTTGGTGCCACCAAAAGGAACACATCGCCAGTGTTGAGTGAAGACCAGCTGATTTCATTCAACTTTATCAAAATGATGAACATTAGTTAAAGTGATATCTTTGAGCGGGATCTAACTTACCTCATGCATAAGCGGACGTTTTTTGCCTTTTACCTGATACAGTGCTGGCGTCAAATGATTATCAATTTTGTGAAAACCACTATCATAGCCTCCGTTAAGTAGTCTGGCAATTAAAAGCAAGAGTTACACTTTCAAGCTTAGCATTATATTGTTAATCATTACCGAATTCCATTGCGAAAGTATGACAGAAACTGTTTCGATTCATATCCTAGTATAAAGCAAGTTTTGAGTAAGCTTTACCGAGAATTAAAACAGTCTTCATTGCAACTTACCTTCCACTTCTCGATGCTGAACTGGAGTTCCTCCTAGGAAATCGTCCAGCTCAACCGTTTTGATGGCCGCCACAGCCGCCTCATCTTGAGACGAATTTGAGCCAATCCAAAAGTGAATGTCGATGTATCCAGTGCCCGATTTAATAGGCACGACGGGCATTTTTGAGTGGCCCGAGTTTCGATGTTCACTGCACTGCAAAACATTCAAAAATGGGTGTGAAAGCTTGAAANCCCGATTTAATAGGCACGACGGGCATTTTTGAGTGGCCCGAGTTTCGATGTTCACTGCACTGCAAAACATTCAAAAATGGGTGTGAAAACTTGAAAATTTTTTTTTTCAAAAATGCTTACGCAAATCACCACATAGGAGTCGCCTTTGAAAAAATTGCCATAATTTTCTGGTGGAACAGGCACAAGTTGAAAGTCCTAAATAAAATAGGCCAATTTTTGTTGTTTAAGGGCACGAATTCGGTTTGACACAACAGCCACGCACCTTGACTCTCCACACAAGAAAGTATGTTGATCCAACGGGGATGGCATCAAAAACAACATCGTGATCAGAAGCCATTTTGTTTGAAGAACTTTTTCTAGCTGACGAACTGCTGGTGTTATATGAGTGTAGATGGTGGATCTGGTGGCGGTCTTTTCACCACAAAAGCGTTCTACCAAATGGCTCGTGAAAGGAAGAACACAGCAGTGGCGGCAGCAGCAAACAGCACTGCAGGCAAAGTAAAGCTGCAATCAAATGCCAGCCAGATGAAGAGGCACTCACCAAGTGACAGACACACACAAATACACAGGCAGAGATACCAAAGCTGACACTTATATATCGCAGCTAATATCTGCCGCTATAATCCAGAATGCTTATATTGTCATGGAAAGTAGTTAATTGCTGCTTTTCAAGATTATATACGAGCAATAAACTTGCTGAGTTTCTCGATCAGAGAGGGGAGAACAAAAAGAGTGATCCGCTCGTGGTGATGATTTAGAATCTGCAGTATGTGAACCGCTTAGACAGCGAATATTCTACAGTTGATAGACGGCTGGCAATGTACGGCGTCAAGCCGACTGGCAGTTGAAACACTGCTAATGCTGCTGGTGGTTGTGGCAGTAAACAAAAGCCAGAGTGAAGTGCACAGACTGCCACTGGCAACCAATCTGCGATTGTCAGACGCACACCGCCAAAAGGAAAAAGCCATGAAAGAAAAGGCGATGCAGTTAGTCTATTCGAAATTTCAATGAAGATGTTTCCTGAGCACTGACAGGGCAAACTGGTTTAGGCAAGTGACGGACGTAGGAAATGCCCTTTGTTGGAGGACTTTTTTAACGCACCCGACGGATGGCAAGTCATCGTAAACACTACCCTTGTTTATCATTGTCCTCAATGAACGTGGGTGAACTAGTTGGTTTTTTAAATTTGGCATAAATACTCTATTACTAGAGTGGCATTTTAGCATTTTGCGCCAAGTATCAATTTTTGGCGGTAAACGTTTTAAAACTTTAAACAAATGTAAAAAAGTAACAGACTAAGTAAACTCTTTTTACTAAATGGAAAACTAGAGTTTGAAAATTTAATCTAGAAACAGAATCTTTCAGCACTAGAAACAGATATTTGGCACAAAAATCTACTTAAATTTACCAAAACCTTATGCCAATTATATCTCATGTATAACATGAATTTTGTTTTTTGATTGACGATAGGTGTAATGGGGTGATTCACCACTGTCTGGTAGGTATGATGGGTTGTGGCTATTTTTGGTGTCTCAGTGCAACAATCAGTGAGGCTGTGAGTACGCACTGAGATTGCATGATAGTCGGCAAGAGGGTGTAAATGAGTGTTTATTAAGATGTTTTATTATGTGTGCTAGAGATGCTAGTGCTTACAATGTTGCTCTAGTTGTGCTTCCTTACTTTGATGTCCATTTCAATGACAAACTGCTCTGAAGGGTCGTTGGGATGTGTTCTGGCCACCTCGATCGCTTTGTCGTTAGCTGTGCTCTCCTCCAGTGGACTTGTCTTGATGTCCACATTACTCGACTGAACATCAGGTTGAGCGGGTAATTTCTGAGCTGAGGAAACCAGTTGCGGGTCGATGAACACTTTAATTGGCACTGCATGTTCACCCTGTAATCCTTTCAATTCACCGGCGGTGAGCATTTGCAATGTTGGCGTGAAGGTTTTGACTGCATTCACTATCGGTGTTGTCCCGGTTTCTGGCGAAGCTGAACGTTTTATATGCTGATTTGATTGAACTGCTGCTGCCGTTTCTTGTTCAATGCTGCTGCTTTTGCTGCCGTTGACTTGTTCTCTGCTCGAGTCTGTCCTAATGACTACAGCTGCTGCCACTATGCTGAGACAAACGATTCCCACCAAAAATGAGCCTGCAAATTTGTATCTTCTTAGCTGCTATCAGAAACACAAATAACTGACTTACCAATTAGCTTTATTATGCTTGATTTGTACCAAGGAGTGCGACCTTGTTTGGTAGTTATTGTGCGATGGTCCTTACTGACGCCCATTTGTACGGCAAAATGGTCGTTTGATTTTCTATTTGGTGATTGCTGATGGTGATTTTGCAAGTTTTGTTCTAGTTTGCCGTTTCCATGTGAATGCATTGACGAGAATTTTAGAGTTGCTGATTGTTTTCGCGTAGACAAGGAATGCACTGACTTGGGCGCCACCAGTTTAGATTTGCTGGTGTTGTTGGGCGCCATAGATCGGCTTCACTTGAACAATTAGTCAATGATAACAGTTGCTGATGAGTCACAAAAAACACAAACACAGAGACAAGCAAAAACAACAAAAAGCTAATTAACAATCGGTGAATCAATTAAGCAAGGCAAACACAGGTGCAGAGATCACAATGTTGTGCACTTGTGCGGCTGGAATCGATCACAGGCATATGACAGACAAGTGGTGGCAAATGCACTTTCACTTCAAACTGCCTTGCCAACCTGGAGAATTGGCGTCAGTAGCAGTCAGATTGTAGGCAAACCAGCCATTGTGCAACACTTACTGCAGCAGTAGCAGCAAGCTCTGCGTGAAACCAATCGGTAGCGTTCAACAGATTTCTAATTCACTTGAAGCTAAACAGTGGTGTCCACGGAGGAAGGTGCTTTTGTTCGACGAGCTGAAGCTTGCTGTTCATGTTGACGATTTATGGTGTGCTTCTAATAATTAGCTTCGGATTCAGCGAAAGGCGAGACTGCGAGACAATCGAGTGGCAATTGAGCACCTTGAACCAGACACTCGCTGGTAGAACTGCCGCACTGGTAGAACTCACACACTCTGATCACTGCTTCGCTCGCTTGCTCACTCACTTTCTCTCTCTTTCTCTATTTGAGGTATTCAGATCTGGTAGTGTCGACTTTTTCTGTTGGGCAAAGTGGCATCGCTA